GTGTGTGTGTGTGTGTGTGTGTGTGTGTGTGTGTGTGTGTGTGTGTGTGTGTGTTCCTTCCTTGTCACATCCAGCCTCCCGTCTTGTAAAAACTGATGGAAACTCGCGGCCTTTTTCTTAAAGAAGGAGACAGGCTTCTTTCTGATAAATGATTCCTCTGATGTATCATGTTGGACTTTTTGTGTGGTTAGACGAAACACCGACAGCACAAAAATAACATTTGACCTCTGCATTTAACCCATCCTAGTACCGGGAGTCTAGTACTAGGAGCAATGGGCAGCTATTGTACAGCGCCCAGGGAGCAATGGGAGTGAGGAGTGTCCGGTGCCTTGCTCAAGGGCACCACGGCAGGGCAGGAGGTGAGCTGGGACCTCTCCAAGTAGCAGTCCACGCTCCATATTTTAGGTCTGGTCGGGGACTTGAACCGTCCAAGCCCCTACTGACTGAGCCACTGCTGGACATGGCTTTGTTGAATATTCAATTATGATTGGTCAATTGGGACGTTCCAGACAAGGATGCTCTTATCAAGGGACTATGTGCATTCCTATCAAACTGCAGAAAGAAGTCCGGTCCATTTAACATCAGCTATGGACAAGAAACATTTTTTTTCCTGCATCGGAAAACGCCGCAAAGAAACCAACAGGAGAAGACAGACAGGAAGTAAGCATTGTTGGTAAACAGTGGATCGGACTTCTTTCTTTTAGCGGAAGCAATACGATCATTTTTAAATAGATATTTGTGAGTCAAGTCGTTGGCAGCGAGCGCCATTTTCATTTAATATAGGGGATTTTTGAAAGCTTGTCTCAAAGAGCAGAGTCTTTTCTGCTGAATCTTAAGGCCGGGATATTCTGTTACAAATTGTACGATGTATCCTTGGACCATGTAAGAAGGATAGCTGTCTCAGACTTGAAGCACACTGTGCCCTCAACTATCACCATCTGCTATAATGATAAAAGATTCAATGTTCTCTATCGTCATAATTACCAAATTCCTCCCAGCACATGAAGACACCGTGGATCACATCCTGCGTGTGCCTCCGCTCTGACACCTTTAAAAAAAGCTGTCAGCGGCTTGTATTACAAAGATTATGAACATGTCTGGTGGTGACATGGCGGAGGGCGCAGCTCAATAGCTACTGCTGCAGGGACCAGAGCAGCAGGCATTAGAGCGTGGAAACATTCAATATCAATTAATGCAGGACTCAAAGTCGGGCTTGACACAGCAGTTAGTGTTTCCTCCTTGAACAGCAAGAGAGAGGTATTCAAGCTCAGCCCCGAGGGAACTCAAGGATTAGCTGCAGAGTCAATATAGGAGTCGTCTCTGCTTTCTGCCTCCAATACTCCTCTCCACCTCCTCTGTCATGTGTAGGCTGGAGGAGTAACAGATTACATGTGACGGTATTACGTAATCAGCATACAAGAAAGTGTAACTGTATTCACCTACAGATACATTTTGAAAAATGATTTCTAGCAGGATTACAATGTGACAATACATTTTAAAATAAAGAAATATGTTGCAAAGCACATACACACATCACAAACCTTCAGGAGTCTCACAGAGAACCGAGTCCTGAGGAAACCATAGCTAATCTTCCAGTTCATCATCATGGCATCTAGTTCAGAATGATTCACTGGGGGGGAAATCTCTTATACTGCCTGTGCTGCAGCACCTCTTTTCACCCCCTGTCTGAAACCAGAGCTCACTCTGCTCTGATGGGTTAGGCTCTGTTTTGATTGGCCAACCGCTAAGAGATGTCCCGCCTATCACGGAAAGTAACAGAAAGTATTCAGGTTACATGACTTTTATATTGTGATACTTGTGAATAACTGTACTGATGATTGTAATGGATTGCATGTTTAAAGGAACCCTCCCAACCCTGATCCTTTGCTGGCATCCTGCAGAGCTGACAAATGGAAAAGCCCCATGCTGATCTTTGTAGAGAAACAATTAGTTCATGTTGACACTAAAAGGTTAAAACTGCTAATTGAAATAATAAGGTTTCATCTCAGTACGAAAGTCATTAAATGTCAGGCAGTGCAGATTGCTAAACGGTGGAACAAAGACTGTTCATTTAAATAATCATACATTAGGCTACAGCATATAAACAACACACTGCAATAATCACCTTGTATATTGCAAAATGTTATTGAGCCATATAACCACTTATTTCCTGATTGTTATTCCAGTGAGGCGTTGCAGAGAGAGGTTCAGGGCCAAAGTCAAACCTGCCTGGGTAAATGTTCGCTTGTCGTGGCCTTTAACCTCCTGAATAAACCTGCTTTATTATTGCCTGCAGCTCTCTCCGAGCAGCCGCACATTCCTGCAGCAAAGAAACCACAGCAGACTTTAGCCATTGAAGGACTAATATCAAGAACACCATATAGCTGTTTATACAATGCACCAAGTTCCTAGCACAATTAGTCTGGAGGGATATCTTAGCTTTGACTCGTGATGCATGAAACTTCTAACCTTTTGTGAAGACCAATGTGCAGCGAGGCGGTCATTATTAAAAAAAAAAAAGAACCCTGACAGGGTGAGCAGGATCCTGACGCTAATCACACAGCTACATATTAAATAAACGAATGACTTGGCTCACAATATTGCTTTGAAATGATCTTATTTAATTAAAAATGATCGTGTTGCTTCCACTAAGGAAAATGGTTGCTTGCTGGAACTGCAGCGACAGCAACGTAACTTAAAATGACGGGGGTTTTCTGTAATGTTCTGTCACATTTTATTTTCCATTAACCAGACTTTAAACACTGCAGTGCCCGGTCTGTGTTCCTGATCGTGTTTACTTCCTGGTTAGACAGATGGGAAGTAGAACAAGAGGACCAGCAGAAGAGGACAGGCAGGATCACCTGTCAGAAAAGAGAATTCAACCACAAACTGAACTAGGGGAATAAATGAAGAGCAAGAGAAAGAAATAGGTTAAAAGACAGAGCACTGGACTTCAGAGAAATGAACAGAAGAAGAAGAAGAAGACAGACAGGAAGTAAAAATAACTGGAACCGCAGAAGAAGTAGAAATCAGTTGATTCTCTGATGTCCATGTCTTCTCTGATAGGTTCAATAATCTGTTGTTTTCCAGGAGATAAAAACACTATTTATTTTCTCCTAAATATCCCTAAAACCAGTTTGTATCAGTTTTGTTTTCTTCTGGGATTACAGTTGTGTCCTCTTGGTCGGTGTTGGCTGAGCTACTGCCGGGATTAAGGATCTGAGATCAATTCACGCTCTGGCCTTTGACCACTAAAACTTCCCAGGCTTCCCCCTAAGGACTCTGCTCTATGATTATAATGAGGGACTGGCTTTAGAAACCAGTCACTGTGTATAAAACTGAATAAGCAGAGTTTCCGTGAACGGCCGAATGTTGTAAATGTGGGACAGCATGTTCTCCTATCCTTTCGTAAAGACTGCTCCAGTGCAACCGAAGCTAAAGGAGATAATGAAGGAAGCTCCTTTCCTATCTAGAGAGTTCAAACGGCACTTTTTACTCCATCGGGAACCTTCCTGAGGAAAAATGACAATTCGATTTTGAGTTTTTTTTAATTTATTTATTTTTTATTTATACAAGGACCATGCATAAAAAAACATTAATCTCAGCAAAGAGACGAGATGTGATATGCCAGATTATAGCTAATAGCTAATTTCCATCCCTCTCTTCCTTTTCCTTGCAGATGCCTCCAAGACGGACGTCCCAGAGGACTTTGACATCGACATGGAGAACCCGGAGACCGAGAAGGCGGCCGTCGCCATCCAGTCCCAGTTCAGGAAGTTCCAGAAGAAGAAGCGCGTCGACAAGTCCTAGTGAGCGCCTCTCTGACGCCGCGTGGAGGTCGAGGACGGTGTGATATTTGCATGTTAACAAATTCATACCTGTTGGAACTCCAGGGGTTGTGATTGGGATGGGTGGGGGAGAATGCAATAGCCTGTTTATCATATGACATGTCTGTGAATTTATCATTATCCTATTATTATTAATTTATTATTCAACTGCTGTATCAATAACTAGACATTAGAGAATATTTCTGTCCTGTTCCATGTATCATGAAGTCTAGCTGGTGTTTGTGTTAGAATATGTTTTTGTACTTACCCCCGCCTCATTGGTTAACATACCTGTGCTTACCCAGAAACACCTGTGTGTGTGTGTGAGAAGATGGACCAAAAACTGATGTTAAGATGACGGTTGTTTTTGTGGAGCTTCCCACCCTGAGCAGAATATTTAACCAGAGGCATTTTTCGTACCCGCATGGTTCTATCAAGGTGTGTGTCAATGTACATTCAATAAATAAAGACTCTGTGTGGATCCTGCGTCTTTGGTCTTTGTACAAATGTGGCAAAGCTTCAGCATCCCTTAATATATTGCATTAACACACAGTCTGCGGGAACAGCAGTGGGATTCATATTGTGATGACAATCTATAAATAGAGCTCTCCAGAATGAGCTCTGCTGAATCTATTCCCTCCTCAGCATGATGACCTTCTCCATGTGGAGCTGCACTGATTGACTGCTTCCCACAGAGCTGCTCAGCTGTAGGCTCTCTAAAAACAACCAGCCAATAACACACCACTACACCAATAGCTTCACTGTAAGGACTATACGGTGACAGGGATGGGAGGGAGTTACTAGTTACGTTATGTGAGAAAATGTAACCTAATCTGAGTATGACGATATAAAAGTAATGTCATCTGATTACTTTCTGTTACTTTTGGAAACCTCAATTTCAAATGCAATGCAAATAAAAAAGGGTTTACTGAAGGGGATTATGGAAGTCGACGGAACAATGTGACCTTAGAAAAAGAAGAAACCAACATATTTAGGATCCAAAATGATTTCATTTCATTAAGCATATTCAGGCAGTAGCCAATACACCAGCAATGAAACACATGAACACATACTACAGTTTAAAGAAACAGAAATAAAATCTGAGCTGACATAAAATGCTCTGTAGTTTCATACACACAGTTAAGCTCACACACACTATTTTATGAACATATAGGTTCACCTACTGAATTAAAAACAGAACAAATGAACCAAAGAAAGTGAAAACCATGAAGCAGATTCAGGCACGAGGCGTATTCACAGTTAAGGTATTAGCCTATGAACAGTACAATTTACAAAGAAGAGATAACATCTGATCCTTTTACAACAAACACTATAAGGACTATTTAGTTTTTTAATAACATTGTAATCCTGCTAGTAATCTACAATGTTTAGAAAACGTACTGGTTACATATTTTTTATGTCACTGTAATCTGTCCCTCCCAAAGCCTGATATTTCCCTATGGAGCCATTTCAAAAGGCTATTTCTGTCTTCCTTGTGTCCAAAAAAGTGGTATTTGATTCCTCTGCCTGTGACTATTCCTCGGCTGTCTTTAAATATCTGGATGGATACGATTTTTGGCCGAGAAGAAGCTTTTTGAAGAGTTTCACAGAGCGGCAGACAGCTTCCATCATTATACAGTATATCCTGCCCGGGCACATTATGTGGTCTCCCTCATTAGGCTGCATGACGAAAAAATGAAAACACACACACACACACACACACACACACACACACACACACACACACACACACACACACACACACACACACACACTGTCAAAGATACTGTGTCGAATCTGCTGCAGCCTGGAGTTGAAGCCCTATTTCAAAGGAATAGCAAAGCATAATATATACTTTTCTTGTTTTGTAGCAAGAAATTGATATTTATTTGATGTGTGTTTTTTTTTTAGGACTTCTAGCAACATAGCTTGTTTGTTTTGTTGGTCCACAACTTTGTTTCGGATAGAGAAAAACTTTTAGATGGATAGCAATGACATTTTGTTTAGACAATCGTGGTCCCCATCTGTCTGATCCCCTGACTTTCCACCCAGCATTACCAGCTGGTCAAACTCTATTAAAATCTGCGAGATGGATTTGCAGAAAATATACCGACATTGTTAAATCCAAGATGATGAATCCTGATGTTCCTCCATGAGGGACACATTTGTTATTTTAAGTGAATTGTCTCGGCAGCTACGGATTGCCATGTGATTTTAAATCAAAACAAATGAAACTTGATTTTTATAGCACTTCAAAGGTACAACAACATTGCTTCACAAACCAACACATTCATTATCAAATAAAATGATGTGTTACTTGTTATTTATAAAAACAGAGGACTAAAATAAACATAAAAAATCAATAAAATTAGAACAAAAAGGAATAAATAAGAAAAACAACAGAAGTCAATAAACACAGGACTGAATAAAATAAAATACAAATACAATTTAAAAAAAGGAATAAATAAGAGCAAAATAAAAAATTATGAATTAAAAACAAAGATAAATCAATAAACCAGGACTGAATGGAACAAGGATAAAAGAAACATAAATAAATTAACCTTAAAAAAGGTATAAAATAAGAATAAGATAATACAGTAAAAATAACAGTTCTGAATGAACTAATCAAATATTGGTAACGTTAATTTAAAAAAGTAAGACACTTAATAAAATGTAAAAGCAGTTTCTGTAGCGAGTAAAGGTGGATAAAGCTGGCGACGCCATGCAAAGTTCTAGCAATTACGCTTTAATACCAACACAAAATAAGGCAATATGGAGGCGCCCTAAAGCAAACGAAGCATAACGTGAATACAGGATCACTCCCTCAGGAATTCTGCAGCCAAACAACACAAGTCACAATGACGTTTTTCTCAAGAAAGAGTGGTTTTACAAGACGGGAACTTAAACTGTCGAGGGTTAAGAAGAGGTTTTCTTAAGATTAGGATCACTGCACAGAGCGGGTCACTGAACGGTCTTATATCAAGGTCAGCGCCGACCTTTGCACCGCTGGGAGTTGATCCTCAAAGCAGATGAGCTCTGTAAACCTGGGAGGATTAAACCACCATGACAAGTTCACTCCTTGATGTCCACAGCCAGATGGTTTAAAGTGCATCCATTACATCCTTATAGTTTACATCTCTATTACAATCAAACTCTATTCATAATATCAATCATTCAATCAAAATACTTCATTCATCCCCGGGGGACTAGGTTTATTCACAGTCCATCAGTACAGAGACCCTCTGAAGACTGGGGCTCACGATGAAGACATGATGAAGACTCAGGCTCATGATGAAGACATGATGAAGACTCAGGCTCATGATAAAGACATGATGAAGACATGATGAAGACATGATGAAGACTCAGGCTCATGATGAAGACATGATGAAGACATGATGAAGACTCAGGCTCATGATGAAGACATGATGAAGACTCAGGCTCATGATGAAGACATGATGAAGACATGATGAAGACTCAGGCTCTTGTTGAAGACATGATGAAGACATGATGAAGACTCAGGCTCACGATGAAGACCCTCTGAAGACTGGGGCTCATGATGAAGACATGATGAAGACTCAGGCTCATGATGAAGACATGATGAAGACTCAGGCTCATGATGAAGACATGATGAAGACATGATGAAGACTCAGGCTCATGATGAAGACATGATGAAGACATGATGAAGACTCAGGCTCATGATGAAGACATGATGAAGACATGATGAAGACTCAGGCTCATGGTGAAGACATGATGAAGACATGATGAAGACATGATGAAGACATGATGAAGAATCAGGCTCATGATGAAGACATGATGAAGACATGATGAAGACATGATGAAGACTCAGGCTCATGGTGAAGACATGATGAAGACATGATGAAGACTCAGGCTCATGGTGAAGACATGATGAAGACTCAGGCTCATGGTGAAGACATGATGAAGACATGATGAAGACATGATGAAGACTCAGGCTCATGATGAAGACATGATGAAGACATGATGAAGACTCAGGCTCATGATGAAGACATGATGAAGACATGATGAAGACATGATGAAGACTCAGGCTCATGGTGAAGACATGATGAAGACTCAGGCTCATGATGAAGACATGATGAAGACTCAGGCTCATGATGAAGACATGATGAAGACATGATGAAGACATGATGAAGACATGATGAAGACTCAGACTCATGATGAAGACATGATGAAGACTTGATGAAGACGTGATGAAGACTCAGGCTCATGATGAAGACATGATGAAGACTCAGGCTCATGGTGAAGACATGATGAAGACATGATGAAGACTCAGGCTCATGGTGAAGACATGATGAAGACATGATGAAGACTCAGGCTCATGGTGAAGACATGATGAAGACTCAGGCTCATGATGAAGACATGATGAAGACATGATGAAGACTCAGGCTCATGATGAAGACATGATGAAGACATGATGAAGACATGATGA